GATGTTTTGGCTCGCCCGAGCGAAGTGTGGGAGAGCCCCGTCGTCGGTGAGGATCCTTTGGTGTACAGCCTGGGCAGTGGTGCGTGCGCGCCCACCATCTCCGTGGTGTCTGATCTCCTTATTGACTTTCTCGTATTCCCGGGCAAGCTATTGCCCGGCTTCAGCGATCTCCTCCCTTCGGGCTCTTAGCTGCTCCACCCCTACGTGGGGCGGGGCGGCTGCTCCTCTTTGGGTTGCCCCGGCGGGGTCGAATGCGGGGGTAGTCTCCTCCCCGGAGACGCTTTCAACGTGTCCCTCGGGGGTTTGCGTCACAAAGCATTCCCGAGAAGGACGATGGCTCCCCCTGCTGGAGTCAGAGCTAGAGGATGACTCTGGCTCTTCGGCGAGGAGTTTGTGGAGAGACTCCATGTCGTGTTCAATCACCCCCATGAACTCGTTGTCCACGGGCGTTAGAACCATGCGTAGTGCCTGAAGATGGCTCGCGGTCGCCACGGTGTTGCGGAGACCGAACGGAAGCGCCGTCGGGGCGCTCCATATGTGTCGTTCCAGAGAGATGTGTCTCTCTCCAAAAGGTCGCGCCATGCTGTCGCCGTTGGCAATGGAGAGGCGATGCTGCTTCTCCCTGGACTCCCATGGTCCATGGGAGACGTCGAGCTGACGCCCAAGCCTCTCATGGTAAAGGCCGTTGGAGGGAAGAGATTGGATGGCGGCGTGCGACCATGACAACTCTCCTCCCCCCGCGACGATGAAATCCAGGCTCCCGAAATGCACGTGTGCGCCTGGGACCCAGCTAATGTCGTGGTTAGCCATCCGCGGCCTGGTTTGGAACGCGCAAAGGCCCCTACCTGGCGCGCCAACTATCGGTGTTTCGAACAAACACCGGTGAGTAAATTTGTAATTGATGCGCGTTAGGCCCGGATGGTGCGCTAAAGGACACAAGGGTTATACTGGTTCGGGCTGAATGTCCCTACGTCCAGTCTGTTGCTGCTTGTGTTATTAGCACCGAATGAGGTTCGTAGTAGGGGGTACAAACGGTTGGGAGAGGGAGAGACCCCAAGTCCCTGATGGAGTGATTGGAAGGACGCCAAGAGCTCTGTTGGCGCTCGGCCATGTGGTGCGTGTGTGTGTGTGCTAACCTGTTCAGAATCGGTTGATCGATCCCTTAGTGGGGAGCCCTGCCTCCCCTTTTATAGATCGAGGGGGGCAGGGTTTTTTACAGACGGGGAAGAAGAAAACACTAAGAGCATAGAAGGTCCTTCGAGGAACCCGGTCCTTCCTTCTTCCCCACGCCTGGTCTGCCCATCATGGCAGATCATGTTAGGATTGAGGCGATTGTAGACCGTCGTGGGCCACGCCACGGCCACTGTTTAGCAAGTGGGTATGTCCCATCCCGCCCCTGCGGGCGGCGTGTCGGACAGGATTTGCCGAGCCCCGACCCCGTGGGGGTCGGGAGGCGCGGTGACTGTTGGTTTGCCTTTGGAACATAGTGGTTGTCATATGTCTGCATCGGGTTCTTTGTCTGGAGGCTAAAGGCGGCGCCTACAACACTGTTCAGGCTCTGCCATGCCCGGAGGGGTCCAAGCGCTCGCCTAGTCACATCCTGACGGTACTTCCCTGCAGGGGTGCAGGGCATGGCGTCTAACGCTGCGGTTGACCCGAACATCTTGTCTTACCCTGCAATCGTCATCATGAGGGTACAGGGCGCGGTTCATCAGGTGAGACTGGGCCAGCCTCTGGCTATCGGGCAAGGCGAGATTCGTCATTGGTCGTTCGGATGAGGTAAAAACCTAGTTTTTACCCGCCGGGCGAAGCGGAGTTGTCCCCCGGCCGTCGAACAGGGCCGAGCCCAGCCCTCGGGGGTCGAGCGAGGCGGTGCGCATCCCCTGGGGGTCGGGTGAAGCTGAGCCCAGCTGTCCGGCGAGGTGGAGTCGCCCTCCAGCCATCGGGTGAAGCCGAGCCCAGCCATCGGGCGAGGCGGAGTCGCCCTCCAGCCGTCGGGCGAGGTGGAGTCGCCCTCCAGCCGTCGGGTGAGGCGGAGTCTCCCTTCAGCCGTCGGGCGAGGTAGAGCGGGTCCCAAGGGCACATGGGCGCTCGGGCGAGGCGGAACAAGACTTCCGCTTGGTCGGGCAAGAGATGTAACCGCGCTTTCGGGAGTCCTTACCGTTCGATGGTTCATTGATTCCTCCTCTTTGGGGTACCCCGGTATTAGGTCCCCGACACTGTGGCCATAGGTTCCGTGTTGACACCGGGTTCCTCGTCAGCATCGTGGATGGCTACGTCAGGCATGTCCACATCATCATCGTTTCCCTGCAGAACATTCACACCAACCTCGCCATGCATAGTCCATATCGTATAGTTTTGCATGAACCCCCTGGTAATCAAGTGCGATCGTATAGACTCAATTTGATGAAAGTTCCTTTGATTCTTACAATCTTTGTATGGGCAGAAGACAGGGTTCCCATTCCCAGCATGGGCTTTGGCATCAGTGATAAACTGGCTAATGCCATGCATGTACCGTTTGTCTGTTCGGGACAGATGCATCCACTCTCGATCCATCTCTATACAAAAAAAATACTGAGACAGTAATTACAAAGAATTAATAAGAAATCGAGCTTCATGAACAACAATTGTAGCTCGAAAGTACCATTTTTGGAAAACATTATTGTACACTAATTATTGAAAAATTGAAATTGGTAGCCCCGGCCTTGTAAATTGAAAATCTTAGTAAAAACAATTATTGCACAATAATGAAGAACATCTATTCTTCTCTACTTCTAAGAACTAATTATAGCATCACATACTAACAATGATGATCTTGACCACCATGGAATAATTAGCTTGGAATTTAAATGTGTTCATAGACACCAACCTTTTGGATGATGGATTCACCATAATTTGAGCCTTACACAAATGTCCGCCGTCGTTTTTTGTCCCAAAAGTGCATTCTCTAGAATGGAGAAAGAACTAGAATGAGAATCAAGCAATGTAGCCATCAAAATGAAGTTAATTAAGCAACAAAATCAAAGAAGTGGATGTTTGTTACTAATCTTAAAGGTGACAAAAGATCAAGCCATTCTTCAAAATCCAAGCGCTCTAGCTTCATCATTCATATTTGCAAAGATTGCGTGTTTTACCTTCTTGCTTGTGCTCTTCGAGGCGCTTGCAGTGAAAAGCCTTCTTGGAGGGAAGGGCCCAAACACGCGTCGACGCTCGAGATCTCCACAAAATCGTTCTCGGGATGGAAGAGATGATGGAAGAAGAGCCTTACACAAATGGCAATTGCAGTGCCTCTTTTGAAAGAACTAGAATGAGGCTTATCACCGTCGGTTGTTAGCTAGAACAAAATCAAAGAAGTGGATGTTTGTTAGATCAAAATCATTCTTCAAAATCGGCTAGCTTCTTGGATTTAATAGTGGAGGAAGGGCCCGCGCAGTGATGAAGAGATGAGGAAGTGAGCCGCCCTTGTAAAAAAACACCGCGGTGGTAGATTCAAACCATAAACCGGCAGTGATGTGGTCCTTCACTATCGGTTTTAGCCCAGCCCCAATCATTTTCTCATTTTCAAGCTCATAACCGGCAGTGAAGGTACATAACTGTCGGTTGTCACAAATCCGGCAGTGATGTCAAATCTGGGGTAGTGTGAAATTGATTGCTTCCACTATGTGTATTTTTTTTTTTGCAAAACCACTATATGTAATTAAATCTGTCTTCCTCTATTTACTGCTATTAATTCTCTCTTCCACCGAGACCTCATTGTAAACCGTATGTTCGAAGTACTTGGTGATGTATTTGAACGAATTGTGTTTGATTTGAAAAGCTTTTGTAATAAGGACTTGTGGATGTGGTCCTAGAATCGTGAAAATGTGGATGTGGATGCTTTATTCGGTTTTTCCTTAGAGCTAGTGGCCTAGCTAACATGATACTGGGTTTGGCTCGGCGTTGGACGTGCTTAGTGCTGAGAGGTCGGCTAGTGCATTTGAGTTAAAAATAAACTGGGCAGTTTTGTTGCATCGAATTAGTATAGTATTGATTTTTTGAAGAATTTCTAGAATGCATCTTTTCTTATAGTGATTCATTTGACGATTAATGTTGAGACTCAGTTAGAGGACTCCAAGATACTTTCTATTAACATATGGTGTTTAAAACAAGATAATTAGTTAAGAAAAACTAGTTAGCTTATGATAAATGTAACTTTAACTAGTTAGCTTATGATAAATGTAACTTTAAAATGAATAGAGTATACATTTGTGCTATCAACCTAAATATAGTTTTCAGCTGACAGTTCATTGGATCAGGTGTTGAGTTTGATGCTATCTGTACCTCCAAAATGGCTACAAGATCCAGTGCCTCACGTAGTCGATCACGTGATATGAGATGACACGTAGAGATGCATGCATGCGACTTCACAGAGCTAGCCATTCTGGGTTCGTGTGCTTGGTGATTTTATAAATTTATATAAATTAATTCCGAAGAAAGCTTAAAAAGGTCCGACTCTGTATCCACAGCTTACAGGTAGATTCTTCCCAGATTTAGTTTCCTGATGAAGCCGTGTGTCAGAAAATATCATCTGACTGCATGCCACGATCCATGAGGTAAGATGCTCTGTGCCTGTGCGCGCGGAGATCCGCGCACGCTGCAAAATGTCAACGTTAGTATAGCAGGAAATAATATCTAGCAATGGACATGGACGGCTACTGTCAGCTTATAAGATTCTGTTTCTATGGTCATAGACGTGAGCAAGTGATGATAGTTAATTAAGCTAGGCAGCTGACACTGAATTAACAAAAGCCAAGCCCGCTGAGAAGAGAAAAGCTTCTGCAACTCGATCGATCGGAACAGGTCGAGTAAACCCTAAGCATCTAGCTAGCAGAGAGTAACCAATGTGCTACACCACTATAAATAGAGCCATCGCCCTGCCCATGCAACACAAGCCAGTGAGCTAGTAGGCAGTAACCTCTCTTGCTAATCGCTGTCAGCTAGGCGGCCAGTGATCGCATGCCATGAGATGGATAGTAGCTCTGTTCCTTCTCACCCTCCTCATCACCGTCCACATAGCCCAAGCTGACGACGACAAGTCGTCTGGGGACAAAGGGCTTGGTTCTGATTCCAAGGATGGCAGTGATCACAACTCACAGGGAGATAAGGGAGGTGATGGTGAGGAAGGCAGTAGTAACAAAGGTGATGGCAGTAATGGGGTTGGGCCTGTGAAGAACCCACATTGCCAAAAGCCAGGGCGAGGTCCAGATCCACATGGTGACGGTCACGGGCCTCCGAAGAAAAACGACTGTGGTCATGGCCAAGATTCACCATCTCCGCCTGATGACTCGTCAGGGCCTCCCTCCTACTCAGGTACACCTCCACAGTCTTCAAGTCCCCCACCAACACCTCCACAACGATATCCTCCATCTCCACAGTTCAGCCCTCCTGTGATGCCTCCAAGCAACAAATACCCTCCACCGCCTTCAAGTACCCCAAGCACACCCCCGACATATCCACCAAATAGCCAACCACCCTCGTCGCCCTTTAGCCCTCCTACCATGCCTCCATACAAATCTCCTCTGCCACAACAATCTAGTCCTCCAGCCAAGCCTCCAACCAACAATTCACCTCCACCACCATTGAGTCCACCCATTGCACCTCCATCTTATAGTCAACCACCTCCAATGAAACCTAGTCCACCTCCACACCAAGCTACACCACCACAACAATCTAGTTCCCCTCCACCGCCTTCAAGTACCCCAACCACACCTCCAATATATCCACCAAATCACCAACCACCCCCATCACCCTCTAGCCCTCCTACCATGCCACCACAATCTAGTCCTCCAACCAACAATTCGCCTCCACCACCAGCGAGTCCACCCACTGCACCTCCAACCTATAGTCAACCACCTCCATTGCAGCCTAGTCCACCTCCACACCAAGCTACACCACCAAAACCATCTAGTTCCCCTCCACCACCTTCAAGTACCCCAACCACACCTCCAATATATCCGCCAAACAACCAGCCACCATTGTCGCCCTCTAGCCCTCCTACCATGCCTTCGTACACATCTCCCATGCCACCACAATCTAGTCCTCCAACCAACAATTCGCCTCCACCACCACCGAGTCCACCCACTGCACCTCCATCCTATAGTCAACCACCTCCATTGCAACCTAGTCCACATCCACACCAAGCTACACCACCACAACCGACTAGTTCCCCTCCACCACCTTCAAGTACCCCAACCACACCTCCACCAAATAACGAGCCACCCCCATCGCCCTCTAGCCCTCCTACCTTGCCTCCATACAAATCTCCCCCACCACCACAATCTAGCTCCCAAGCCAATCCTCCAACCAACAATTCTCCATCACCACCATTGAGTCCACCTACAACACCTCCATCCTATAGTCAACCACCGAATTCCACTATCTCACCTCCGCAACATCCTCCACCTCCACAACAATCTAGTCCACCTCCATCATCTTCAAGTACCCCTGCCACACCTCCTTCACCCTTTAGTACTCCTACCACACCACCTCAACAATCTCAAGCGCCACCACAATCTAGTCCACCTGCTATGCCTCCCCCAAACAATACACCTCTATATCCTTTGAGTCCTCCTATCTCACCTCCACAGCAATCCCCACCGCCACCACAATCTACTCCACCTCCAGCATCACCTAGTACCCCTCCGACACCTCCAACATACCAACAGGATAATCAATCACCTCCACCACCATCTACTACTCCTTCTACACCTCCATATCAATCTCCACCACCAAAATCTAGCCCACCATCTATGCCTCCATCCTATACCCAACCACCTCCATCACCACAATCTAGTCCATCTTCACCACCATTAGGTACCCCATCAGTGCCTCCAACATATCAACCGAATAACCAGCCACCTCCACAGAAATATTCACCACCACCACAATCTAGTCTACCTCCACCGCCATTAAGTACCCCTACTACATCTCCACCATATCAACCAAATAACCAGCCACCTCCATCACCCTCTAGTCCTCCTACCATTCCTCCAACCTATCCAGCTAATAACAGTCCACCTCCATCACAACCACCACCACCATTGCTTAGCCCTCCTACCACACCTCCTACTGCACCAAGCTACATGCAGCCTCCACCATCACCTAGTGCTCCTACTACACCTCCAACTGACCAAGATCATGGCCAGACACCCCCATCATATGGTGTCCCAGATGGACCCAAAGGATGGCAACAAATAAACAATTCTCATGATGGCTTGTTTTGGCAAATTGGAATATCTATTGTGCAACAATTGTCAAAGGATAACAAATATTATATTCTTGTGGAAGTTCTTCGGACAAGTATGATGCCTGTAGGCATTGGTAACAACTACTTCCTGGTGATGAAAATGGAAGATGAATACAAGAAGGTCGGAAGGTACCATGCATTTGTGTGGGGTGTGCCACAACAACCTGATTTTCCATGGAAATTGCTATCATTCCAGTATGTAGGAAACTAAGGTCATTATGCCTGACATCCATGATCACACCCATGGGCGCTTAGGACAACACATCATACGACTTGTCTTGGTAGCCACTATGTTGTAGTTTGTTTTGATGTCACTCTACTGTTGTAGCAAGGGTTTGATTTCCTACAGCATGTTTAGAATTCAATAAGAAATGTGTTGCTTTTATTAGTCAACCCATTCCAAATGAAGAAGAAGAATGTATGGATCTCAACATTTCTTACTCCACTAGCACGTCGTCTCCATATAACTTCTATGCAATGTGTTTCTATTATTTAGTTACATGATCTTATACACTAGAGGATGCATATAAAGTCCTTTCATGTCATAAAAAGGATAACCAGGCACATCTAAAGTAGAGAGAACTCTTTTGTATGGAATGTGGGAAGAAAAATGAATATCAAATTCATGTTATGTACACTAAATCACTCTAAACAATACTCCATTCCTTTGAAATAATACTTCTTATTTTATTTTGTTAAACAAGCCCTTGACCAAGAATTACTCAATTTTATGACACAACATTGATGTTATTAAATCCGTATCATAAAAAAATATACTCATGATTATAGTTTTACATCACATGAATTGGTAAAAGCCTTATTGTAACAGAGTGAAGTACGCCTTATGAAAATGGAGTGAATACTTTCAATCATAAAACGCCCTTCTAGGTTGTCTTAAGTCAAACATTTTATATTTGACAATATGAAAGGACTGAGTGTCACGAAGAGGTGTCTGTGTGCCGGGGAGGGGGGGGGGGGGGGTGAATAGGTGTTTCCTAAATCATACAAAACTTAGTGGAATGAGTTCAAAATATAGGTTACCTAGTTTCAAGTGGTTAGCAGAATGCATAGAGAAAACATAACAGAGCAAAGTACACACTTTAAAATTCACACAATATATATCCTAAAGGTGTTGGTGATGTCCAGATGCTTTAACCTGCACTACAAGTGATGCAAATACAAATGGACAATCGGTAGAATTCAGCCAAAACTAGGTTGCCTGGTGGGAAAAAAATTGCGTACGGACCGTCCTTATCAGATCCTGTGCGGGTTGTGCAACTGAGATGTGGACCTCCTTGCAAAATCACCTGTCCCATGGGCCACATGTCATACACAGTGTCCGCACAATGCTCCGTACGGATGGTCCGCACCTGATTTGTTTCCGCCTGGTGATGATGACACGCTACGACGTAAATTTCTCAATTTTTCACGGTACAAAATCACAGGGCAACTTCTCTGAATTATTGTACTAAAAAAATATGTAGCAAAGAATAAAGCTGAAACTAGCACTTAGGCGATAAAGATTATCAGGTAACACTCCTGACAAAAATATTCAGAGCCGCGTAGATGTGTATTCCGTTGGCAATATTCAGAGTACAGTACTAGGACTGACCAAGCACAGCAGCTTGTAATAGTCCGCACAATGAACAATTTTCAGCAAGAAACAAAAGCAGATTAAATAAATTCGCCGGCCAATCAAACAAAAGCAGTTGCAATATTATTGACAGAGAGGGATCAGCTTCCAATAGATGCAGTCCACACCGTAAATAAATCTTCCACCCGCAGTTACGACGAACCACGATCAGAAGAGAAGGAACTCCTAGAATTACAAGCGACGCACCCAAGGTATATCAGCTCGATCACGCACTCCATGCAAATCCACAAGGATCTAAAAACACCATCTAGGGCAGAGAGTAGGGGGTATGTATCTAGCCCTAGTCGGTTACAATAGAAGAGTTATAGTCTTATTATAGAAGCTAGCTTTCCTAGTAAGCCGACTAGGTTGGTCCTTGATAGCTTGGAGTCCAAGCCACCTAGCCTCGTGTCCTCAAGCAGACCGTGGGCCAGCTCAGGGCCTAGCTGGGTAATGGACCCCATAGGGAACCCCTAGGACTCGGTCCGTCAACGACGTCCGGGAGCCGGCTGCCGGACGGCATCTCCACCGTGCCCTAGCGTGGCTGCCCGTCTTCCTCCCTCTCCATGGCACCTCCTGCCTGTCGTGGCCACCCGCCTTTCTCTCTCTCCACCGCGTCTCCCACCCACCGCGGCCTTCTCCAGCGTGCGGTCTGCCTTCTCCACTAGAGCGACCCGCCGCAGCCTTCTCTACTGGACTTGTCGCGGCCTTATCTCCACAGAAGCGGCGAGCTCCACGCCACTGGCGAGCTCTACACCAGTGAACTCCACACACCAACGAGCCTTCATTCCCAAGCATCAAGGAGATGTTGCACTGAAAGTGCATGTTGTAAACATATGTGTTTCAGGTGTTTCAGATGTTCCAGAGGTATGTTACAAGTGTTTCGTCTCAGTGTTGCAAAAGTAAATCAGGATGTTGCAAAAGTAGATAGGGGTGTTGCACATGTTGCAATGGCTATACACGTATGTTTCAAGTGTATATTTGAAATGTTTCATCTGTATCAGACGTATGTTGCAAGTATTTTCATCTAGATGTTGCAAAAATAGATCTGGATGTTGCAATACATGCATCTTGCAAGCGTATTTTTTCAAGTGTTTTAGGTGTTTCATACGTCTGTTGCAAGTGTTTTATCTGGATGTTGCATATGTTTGGAATGGTTTTCAAGAGTTTTCAGGAGTTTTTGCAAGTGTTTCAGACGCATGTTTTAAATGTTTCATCTGTCTTCTTTTGTATGTTGCAACTGTTAAATCTAGATATTTCAAAAGTAGATCAAGGGTTGGACATAGGATGCGCATGGGAAACGGCCGGCGGCATGGACGACGTCTCGAGCGGTGCGGGCCCGCTGCTGGGGCGCTCGCTCGCAAGCCCAACGCACTGGGGTAGGTGCTCGCTCGCTCGTTGAGCGGGTACCGTCCGACGCTTGCACCCTATATCGAACGTCCGGGAGCTAGCAAGTCCGTCAATATAAATACGGCAACAATGGAACGAGCAAATACTTAAACTATGCAGCTAATCCCTTCGGCACATAACAGGTTTCAACCTGGCATCTCTATGTGCACCGAACCAATTAGAATATATCTTTTTAGCTTCTTCATCTCTAGTTTATTTTGCAAATTAGCTCCTGCAAATATTATCTTGGCCAGCATAGGTGTGTTGACAAGAACTATTTTTGTAAACTTTGCCACTCATTAAAAGAGAATGATCTGAACTGAAGATAATACAAGGGCAGGGGCGGATCCAAAGGGGGGGGGGGGCTGCCAGGGCTACAGCCCCCTCTAGTGAGCCTGATTTCTTCATTAGACCACGGTTAATTAGCCTCAAATCACCATTAATCTCTAGATCTAGCCCTAAATCTTCATTATTTAGCCCCCCTTTGTCCCCATCCTGCATCCGCCACTGTACAAGGGCTACAAAGATCATAAAATTAGTGCCTAATATCTAAGTAGCCCTTGTGAGAACTTCCACCAACCCTCGCTTTGTGAGATTGTGTAATTCTTGTGAGATCTAAGTGTTTGGTTTAGAGATTTAGAGTTAGAGAGGACAAGAGAGCAAACCAAGTTTCAGCACTTGTGGCAGGTCAAGAAACTCATGAAGCATTTGTTATCTTGGACATGAAGCTCCCTAAATGGCTAGGAGTTGTTTTATGAGCCCCTGAGCACGTGAAAGGTTGTAGGCAAATTTTGAGGGTTGTGATTTTGCCTAAATATGGAAAAAGACCAAACTAGTGTATTGAGGGAAGTGGTTGAAAGAGACTCAGCTTGAGCATGACCCTGGGTTGCTCAAAGCCTCATCAATGGAGTCATAGGCACATCATGGATGTTGTTCAACTTCGATAAACCAAATCATCATGTCTACACTGTAGTTCTCTTGTATTTTAACTTATTTGCTTTACTTTGCATTTTGCCTCCATCTACTTGTGGTGTGACAAATTGTGTGTCGGTTCTTTGTAAACCTACAACAAAGAAGCTTTGTAGTACCTCTACGATTTCAAGATTAAAGTTTAGATTGAAAAGGATAAGTTTCTCTCTTTCTACAAACTCATGAAAACCAGGTGGTGAGCTCTCATGGCTTCTCAAGTTAAGCTAGCTAGCAGCTAGCTGTAACTTACAGTTGACAAATGCCAAGGCATTAGGTAATTGAGATCTGCAGTAAGCTTTTATTTTAGATGAAAAATGACGTGAAGCTCTAGTACATCACATGGCATATGGGGGTGGTTCCTAGATTGCTGAGTGTCCATTCAGCAAATAGACACAGCTTGATCTCACAAAGTTCAGAAACTATATATATGTATTCAGATATCTGTACATCAGAATTTAATTTGGACGATCTATGTACTCGTTTACTATTTCAACTCAACCCAGATCTAGGGCAGCACCAACTCATCTGAATACCTGTCATTTTCTGCTACATTTAGAATCCATGTTTAGATCTTCCGAGGTTCAATTTTCAGGTCATCTTGTACTACTACAGATTGACCTACCACCAACGCCTTTATCATCGCCAGTATCATTAAAAACGATGATGATAGCTATCACCAATGGTTCGTAATATGAACCGTTGGTGACGAGAGTATCACCGCCGGTTCGTAAGAACATCCGGGTCGATAACTATCACCGCCACTTCGTCTTACCAACCGACGGTGATAGTCCATCATCACAGCTAGTTTGCACCACCAGCCGGCGATGATGATGTCCTCCACATCACTGTTGCCTCGCCATATGAACCAGCGGTGAAGACATTTTCACTGCCAGCTCGTTGTATGATATGGTGGTGATAACCATGCTATAGTATAAATAAATTCATAACTTTTTCAAATAAAGTCAGATGAAAACAAACTTTATATCAAAGTTGTAGATCTCGACGCAATCAATAACTTTGTAGTTGATGGCTTTTTCATTTGAAACCATTTACGGTCCCAGAATTCTGTTTGAAGCGCTCAAATTTTAAAATTCAATTTTTTTGAATTATACAAACGGACCTAGATGGAAAAATGACCAAAACCAAAGTTGTAGATCTCGACGAGATATACAACTTTGTAGTTGACAATTTTTTTATTAGAAATCATTTATAGTCTCAAA